AGGCTTCAAAAGACTTACTTTCACCTGGCTTCCAAAATCTGACAGGTCCTGTTTACCTGTTATGACAGCGGCGACTGGTCTTGGAGAGCTCAGATCGATCATTGTCCAATTATCATAACTGGGTTATGGGACTGTTACCCCCCAGGCAGGGAATGTCCCACTTTGGGTCTGTGTGAGAACAGGCGATAGCAAGTATTGATAAGATGGTGAGGAATGTGGGTAATGTGGGTGTGAAAATACTTTAACTTGTCGTGGTACTCTTGTGTGAGAGTCTGTATACGTGTGAGGTTGTTTGAGTCACAGACAAGTGTAGGCGTCTGCTGTATGTGAGCGGACCTGTGTACCTGTGAGGGTGCTTGAGTCACAGACAAGTGTAGGCGTCTGCTGTATGTGAGCGGACCTGTATACGTGTGAGGGTGCTTGAGTCACAGACAAGTGTAGGCGTCTGCTGTATGTGAGCGGACCTGTGTACGTGTGAGGGTGCTTGAGTCACAGACAAGTGTAGGCGTCTGCTGTATGTGAGCGGACCTGTATACGTGTGAGGTTGTTTGAGTCACAGACAAGTGTAGGCGTCTGCTGTATGTGAGCGGACCTGTGTACGTGTGAGGGTGCTTGAGTCACAGACAAAGTAAGCTCAGGATGTATTGTAATGGTGTCTGTATACGAGTGAGGTTGCGTCAACGACAGGAGAGGGGGTCGTTTGTCATGTGGGGGAGACTGAGAGGTGTAGATTTGTCAAACTTGTGTGGGTATAAAACATTGACAGGTGTGGTCTCTTGTGTGGGTATAAAACATTGACAGGTGTGGTCTCTTGTGTGGGTATAAAACATTGACATGTGTGGTCTCTTGTGTGGGTATAAAACATTGACATGTGTGGTCTCTTGTGTGGGTATAAAACATTGACAGGTGTGGTCTCTTGTGTGGGTATAAAACATTGACATGTGTGGTCTCTTGTGTGGGTATAAAACATTGACAGGTGTGGTCTCTTGTGTGGGTATAAAACATTGACAGGTGTGGTCTCTTGTGTGGGTATAAAACATTGACAGGTGTGGTCTCTTGTGTGGGTATAAAACATTGACATGTGTGGTCTCTTGTGTGGGTATAAAACATTGACAGGTGTGGTCTCTTGTGTGGAGATCTGCAACGTGAGATGCCTGTTGTGTGAAACCCTGACGACTGCTGTCTTGTTCTGGAACCTGTGTGTGGATTCGTTGAGCTGTCGTGTCCTGGATCGGGTCTGTGCTCTACAGAAGTGAGAGGAAACCTGCTCTCACAGACTGACATAGACCTGGAGTCCCACTGGTCTCTGTGTATGAGATTTAGCCTATCAATTGCGCGTGCTAACGTGTCCAATCATTTGCTTATTCAAGTGTCCACTAATTGACGTCAACTGTGTGTGTTCGTGTGTCAAATAAATGACGTCAACTGTGTGTCCAATGAATGACGTAACCTGTGTTTGTTCATGTGTTCAATGTTTGACGTGACCTGTCTGTGTTCGTGTATTCAATGATTGACGTGAACTGTCTGTGTACGTGTGTTCAATGATTGACGTGACCTGTCTGTGTTCAATGTTTGACGTCACCTGTCTGTGTTCATGTGTTCATTGATTGATGTGAACTGTCTGTTTTCACGTGTTCAATAAATGACGTGAACTGTCTGTGTTCGTGTGTTCAATGTTTGACGTGACCTATCTGTGTTCATGTGTTCAATGATTGACGTGACCTGTCTGTGTTCGTGTGTTCAATGATTGACGTAAACTGTCTGTGTTCAATGATTGACGTAAACTGTCTGTGTTCGTGTGTTCAATGATTGACGTAAACTGTCTGTGTTCGTGTGTTCAATGATTGACGTAAACTGTCTGTGTTCGTGTGTTCAATGATTGACGTAAACTGTCTGTGTTCGTGTGTTCAATGATTGACGTAAACTGTCTGTGTTCGTGTGCCCACTGTTTGATGCCGACTGTAAATTACAACAGAATGTCTTAGCGACTACCTACAGCTGACCCAGCTGACACCTGATGATGATGATGTACAGACATCAAAGTAGAATCATTCAAAATTGGAGCAGTCTCAAAACGAGAGAAATATATTTGACATTTGTGTTTGCTTTCCATCGTAGAAGAATCAATAGATAACAGAAAGAAAGAGAGAATACAGCAGAACCTACAATGTGATAACATTGTAAAGCTGTCAAATATTTTCTCCTCCCTCCCCCTTCCCCTCCCCACCCCACCTGATTTTATGTTGCACTTCAGTGAATCGTCAATACATAAATTATTTTTATGTATCCGTTATTTGAAAGTGCAACCTTTTCACCGTGCTCTCAACGAACGATTTCACCCATTTTTATGTCGTCTGCCCGCTTGACAGTTCAGCTTATACATTTATCGATATAAAACATATTTATCAAATATGTCTTATGATTTTTATTTATCTATCCATTCATCTATTATTTCCCTGTTATCCATTTACCAGTGGCAGCCGTTGCTCTGAACAGATGTAAAGGGTTGCAAGTCGAGTCCTGCCGCTTCATTGAAGCCTTGCATGCAACATCAGATATCTGCTATTACGGTGTTTGCTGATTTTGTCGCACTAGAAAAAATTTATCGCAGGGTATAATAGCTTCAATGGAGGGTCTCAACTACCGTTATTCTGCCGGTATTGGCTGTCAGACTTAGGTCCCTATTCAGCACAAGATCAGTGGAGGTCAAGAAAATAATAACCCCGATACGATCACACCCAGCGGGAAAATTATCCAGGGTTCCGTTATTTCACTGGTTCTCATGCTACACCGGGCACCGCAGTTTCCTTCTGCTGTCACTGTCTGGCCTGGAAACGGCACTGGCGACCACGAAGCTTCCATAACTCTGATGCGACCACGTCCAGCAGAATCAAATGTTGGGGCGTGGATCCTAACTGCATAGGGAGGGTTCCTGGGGAGGGGAGGGGGTAAAGGGTAGGAAGTGGTTTCTATAATGAATAGGGAGGGTTTCTTCTGAGGGCTTACAGAAGAGGTAGGAGGGGCATAGCAATGTGGTTCCTGAGGGTGTTGGGGCGGAGTTTTTGAGGACGTAGGAATGGGGCGCGAGGTGACGTGGGAATTGGGTTCCTGAGGGCATATGAATAAGGTTTCTGAAAACATATGAATGAGGTTCCTAGAGATGAAGGAAGGGGTTCCTGTGAGTAAAGGAAGGGGTTCCTTTATTGTACCATGTCTTGTTCTGACCCGAAACCTTACAACATGAACACAGTATTTGACTTTAGGAGATTGTTTCTGTGTGTGCGCGCTTGTGTGTGTGTGTGTGTGTGTGTGTGTGTGTTTATGTGGTGACCCTACGGTAGATAATCCTAAGCTGGAGTGTGACAGTGTCTGTGTGTGTGTGACAGTGTCTGTGTGTGTGTGACTGTGTCTGTGTGTGTGTGACAGTGTCTGTGTGTGTGTGTGACAGTGTCTGTGTGTGTGACAGTGTCTGTGTGTGTGTGTGTGACAGTGTGTGTGTGTGTGACAGTGTCTGTGTGTGTGTGTGACAGTGTCTGTGTGTGTGTGACAGTGTCTGTGTGTGACAGTGTGTGTGTGTGTGTGTGTGACAGTGTCTCTGTGTGTGTGGCAGTGTCTGTGTGTGTGTGACAGTGTCTGTGTGTGTGACAGTGTCTGTGTCTGTGTGTGTGTGTCTGTGTGTGTGACAGTGTCTGCGTCTGTGTCTGTGTGTGTGTGACAGTGTCTGTGTGTGTGTGACAGTGTCTGTGTCTCTGTGTGTGTGACAGTGTCTGTGTCTGTGTGTGTGTGACAGTGTCTGTGTCTGTGTGTGTGTGACAGTGTCTGTGTGTGTGTGTGTGTGTGTGTGTGTGTGTGACAGTGTCTGTGTCTGTGTGTGTGTGTGACAGTGTCTGCGTCTGTGTCTGTGTGTGTGTGACAGTGTCTGTGTCTGTGTGTGTGACAGTGTCTGTGACTGTGTCTGTGTGTGCGTGTGACAGTGTCTGTGTCTGTGTGTGTGTGTGTGACAGTGTCTGTGTGTGTGTGTGTGTGTGTGACAGTGTCTGCGTCAGGGCAGTCATAGGGCAGATAGCGACTGGACCGTGTCGGGGGAACATCTAAAGCAAACAAGTCTACTTTCAACCTTTAAACCCGTCTAAAACAAATATGCACTTGGGTGGGTGAAAGGGGGGGTCATAAAAGACCAGGTTTGTGGGAGAAGGAAGGGACAATACCATTCTGATAGTGGACATCGGTCATAACAGAGAGTCCGGGCTAGGACATGACAGAGAGCATAGACAAGGACCTAACAGAGAGCATAGGCAAGGACATGACAGAGAGCATAGACAAGGACATGACAGAGAACATAGACAAGGACATGACAGAGAGCATAGACAAGGACATGTCAGAGACCATAGACAAGGACATGACAGAGACCATAGACAAGGACATGACAGAGAGCATAGACAAGGACATGACAGAGAGCATAGACAAGGACATGACAGAGACCATAGACAAGGACATCACAGAGAGCATAGACAAGGACATGACAGAGAGCATAGACAAGGACATGACAGAGACCATAGACAAGGACATGACAGAGAACATAGACAAGGACATGACAGATACCATAGACAAGGACATGACAGAGAGCATAGACAAGGACATGACAGAGACCATAGACAAGGACATGACAGAGAGCATAGACAAGGACATGACAGAGACCATAGACAAGGACATGAGAGAGAGTCCGGGCTAGGACATGAGAGATAGCATAGACAAGGACATGACAGAGACCATAGACAGGGACATGACAGAGAGCATAGACAAGGACATGACGGAGAACATAGACAAGGACATGACAGAGAGCATAGACAAGGACATGACAGAGAGCATAGACAAGGACATGACAGAGAGCATAGACAAGGACATGACAGAGATCATAGACAAGGACATGACAGAGACCATAGACAAGGACATGACAGAGAGCATAGACAAGGACATGACAGAGACCATAGACAAGGACA